AACTTGAAGTTTTCCGTTTTCTCTCTAACCGAGGCGAAATAGGGAACTGCGTATATGAATATCCGCGTGATGTGTATGCGTGCGTGTGCGTGCAATTTATTTTGTAAGTTTTCAATTGGAGAATTTGAATTTTTCCTGTTTCCGTTCTGGTTCAAAAAAGTGGCAAGGTTTGCGCACATCTCGTAGAGCACGCGTTGAGTCGACCCTTTGCCCCACCCTGTGCAGCGTCGATTTTAGCTCCCTTCTTCCCATGGTACTGACTCGTTCCCATTCAGTTAATCTGTCGTATCTCCTAGTTCTGTTCTTGCTAGTATGTTACCTACAATTCTCTACGCTAATCCTATTTCTAACTCAGATAATTCGTCGATCCAACAATACATCTACATAATCGAATTTCCTTGAAAACATCCCGGACGTGGCCGTGCAGGCCATCGGTTCAATCCACGCACTGCAGGCGATTATGACTAGTTTGCGCATTATTTGTAAGAAATTTATTTGCTTTACAAGTATTGTTTTCGACGGCGTGGAATTGTCTTTGACATCTGCTCCTCGGTAAATCAAGCTGACTTAACAGATAAGATATCTGATGAATACATAATATAATATATACCTTGGCATAAGGCCAAACCAACCGCTGTCTTCAAATGTAGGTTATACAGACACGGCTGAGAAAGGTCATGTTTCCTGCTAGATCTAAATGCCTTGCCGGGCTCGGCCCAGCAAAACTATTGCGGAACAACCCAACGATTTCTGTGTCTTTACAAGACCTAGTCCAGAGGATCTTTGAACTTCGCAGAAAAGTATACGTAAAAAGAATCAAGCATTGGTTACAAGGGTTGTATGGTTTATCGGAGTGAGGCAAAAGATCACCGATATAAGTCAAGTGCAGAATTTACAGCAAGAAAATGAATTTCTGCAGGGTATCTCTAGAACGGTTGTATCTTACCAAATGCCCGTAGCTTTGTGAAAAAGATCGACTGGCTTAATCTCCTTCTCATCCATGTTAAACATGACACTGTATGCGTGGCAATCTTGGCTTACTCCAGCCATTCAATATTCCGAATTATGTGATGGTCTTTCGTATGGTTTATCGTAGAGGTTGAAACGGTAAACTTGAGGAAAGATCATGTGTGTCCTCTACAAATTTTGACCACGCTCCAAATTTATCATCACTCTTGTTTATCGTCCTCCCTCCTCCAATTTAATGATTCGTACGTCATCTATTCATTGCACACTTTTTGTAGCAATCATTCCTATGCTGTCCTAATGGGTGATTTCAACCTTGCAATGGATTGGTTGAATATGTGCTCCTTGATGTTTCACATTTAGGAAAATTTGTAGCTTTTCCAGTATGCTTTCGCTTCAACACTCCTCCAACCAGCAAGAATGAATAGTGTGTTAGATCTTGTACTTTCGCCCAAACCCATTGTTGATTGATTAGTGTTGTGCAGCCGCACAAGAAACCAAAAGAAACCACAAGCTCGAGAAGAATGAAGGAATATGTTGATCTGTTGTTTATGATATGTGATATAGTTGTGTGCACTATATATAGGCATTCCTTAGTAAGTAGAGATTATTCTTAGTTCCTTGTGGTCAAGTAAAGATTTCGGTCTCCAATCGTCTTCCTACGCACGCCATGGCAAACACAACAACTGGCGATCAGAACCCGAACCCAAGCCCGAACCCGACCCCCAACATGGACCCAACCCACCTTCTGATGCTGCAAATCATGGAGCTGCGGAAAGAAGTAAAGAAGGAACAAGGAAACATGGCACTCAAAATTCGTGAATTACTCAAAAAACCCCATTTTGCGACAATTTTGTGAGTGTGGACGAGTGCTACTAATGTCCTTGTTGAAAGTAAGCATTAACAGATAGACACTATGTGTTCCACTGTGTTTGCCACGTGAAAACACGTCAAGGACTGAGGGTTGTTCGAGGGAGAGGGTCTTGCGAGGAAATGGGTATGGTCACCGAGGCTTAGCCTTTTCTGCGGCGATTTTCTCCTTTTACTGTGGGCAGGGCCCGGCGGGGGTGGCGCTTTCACAAGCTGGATATCGTTTTTGGCCCGAAAAAGCAAAGGGGAAGTCGTTTTTTGGGGTCCGGGGCGGAGCCCCGGAAAAAAATTGGTAGTTCATGCTCGCTGCTTGTCTTAACATATTATGTCCCTCAACAGGCGAACACTGGAGTTCGCGCGCGTACAACCGCGCCGTCGCTAACTGCCGCACGCGCGACGTCGCTCAAACGATGCTGTTTGTAACGCATAAATGACGAGTTCTCAATGTATGCGTAACGATATGGCACCAAATTTTGTAAGCGAACGGAGAGAGGCTAATGGAAACAAAGTATGAAGAATCATGAAAAACTTATGTGAACGGAACGAGTAATAAGCATTTTTTCCGAAAACTTTGTAAAATTGGTAAATGAAGATGCGCATTCAATTGGCTCGTTTGCAACGCGCAGATGACGATATGCTACGAAACTTGGTACATACGTGGACACAAGCCTGTAAGAGATTAGCTAGGAGTTTCATTGAAAAATTATGTGACTGAAGGTTGTAGCAAGGTTTTTTCTGAAAATTTCCCACTATCAAGAAAATGGAAAAATGGCTCGTTTGCAACGCAGAGGTGACGAAATTGCGCGGGATTTGGTCTGTATATGCGCAGTAGGACTAAGTAACAAAGTATGAAAAATTATGAGAAACTTATGTGAATTTAAAAAATGGTAAGTGTTTTTCGAAATTAGGTGGCTCCCGCGCCACCTGGGAGCCACCTGCGGTGGCTCCCTGCTTTCCTTCACATAATTTCCCGGATTTCTTTACATAAATGTGGCTTAGATCGAGAGTATTACTACATGTTCAAATCCGCTTCCAAAACCACCAAGGCACCGCTTCGATACAGCCCTAAATAGGGTTCACAGCGCTATGGTCGGCCTCGGAAAGCGCGCTCCAATCGCAATCGGTGCACCTTGCACAGACGACGCGGAAACTTTGAGAAATTGACTTTTTGCTAGATTACTGATCGCTGATTGAAGCAATCTTCTCAGTCTTCAAATTGCTTCTTCGATAAGCCCTACAAGGGCTCAGAAGGGTCAGCGATCATATTTGATCGTAATGTTCCATGCAAAAAGTTGTTTTTGTAATCGTATTTTTTCAGTTTTCGCAATATGGTCAATTTTTCCGTACTTTCGCTCTTTTGGGTCGTTAGTAATAAGTCGTTAGTAAATGTAATTTTTGGCCATCCTCTCAAAGGATGACCCGGGCTGGACCAGGAAAGCCAGGTAGTAGTACTATAATAAGCGCTGAGGCCGCCCATCTTATTATTTGTGTATATCTGTTTGTCAGGGACTTACGGGGGCCAAAAATAGGGTCAAAGGGGAAGTCGTAAGAAATTTTGGCTTCAAAGGGGATATCGTTTTCAAAATTCTGAAATGCCACCTCCTGCCGGGCCCTGACTGTGGGTGTACAAAAGTCGGACTTGTGCAATAGTTCTAGATCGAGGCCCTAATACTCGATTATGATATAATAGTATTCTATAATGCCCAAATCTGCTCGGAAGCTGCTTTTAAAGATGAGTTTGCAAAATTTAGTTTCCAGCCTTATCTTATATAGAAAGCTGAATGTCTGTCTGTATGTATGTCTGTATGTCTGTCTGTACGTATGTGCGGAATAGAAATTTTTATTTCTGAACCGATCGGGAACAAACCTGGCACACATATACTTCGGGGCAGGGAGCGTGTCATAGGCTACTTTTCGTTATCGATCGATATCGATTTTATCGATTTTTTTGCAAAATTTGAGCTAGGGGGCTGGGATTTTGCACAGGGGGGTAATCGAGCATGCTGATCACCCCGGAGGGGTTGATCAGCATGCTCGATTACCCCCCCCCGTGCAAAATCCTAGCTCCCTAGCTCAAATTTTGCAAAAAATCGGTAAAATCGACATCGATCGATAAGAAAAGTAGACTATGACACGCTCCCTGCCCCGAAGTGTATGTGTGCAAAGTTTGGTCCCGGGCGGAGCCGGGTTTGCCATCTAGTCTTATATATAAAGCTGAATGTCTGTCTGTATGTCTGTCTGTATGTCTGTATGTCTGTACGTATGTGCGGAATAGAAATTTTTATTTCTGAACCGATTTGGACCGAACTAAGCACACATATACTTCGGGGCAGGGAGCGCGTCATAGGCTACTTTTCGTTATCGATCGATATCGATTTTATCGATTTTTTGCAAAATTTGAGCTACGGGGCTGGGAGTTGGCACAGGGGAGTAATCGAGCATGCTGATTACGAATATAATTATGACAGGGCCGGGCGGAGCTGGGTTTGCCAGCTAGTATTATCTATAAAGCTGAATGTGTGTCTGTCTGTCTGTCTGTACGTATGTGCGGAATAGAAATTTTTATTTCTGAACCGATCGGGACCAAACTTGGCACACATATACTTCGGGGCAGGGAGCGTGTCATAGGCTACTTTTCGTTATCGATCGATATCGATTTATCGATTTTTTGCAAAATTTGAGCTACAGGGCTGGGAGTTGGCACAGGGGGGTAATCAAGCATGCTGATTACAAATATGCTATTGACAGGGCCGGGCGAAGCCGGGTTTGCCAACTAGTATAATACTATATTTTCATCACCGTATTCCTCATGCGAGGAATACGGTGATGAAAATATATATTATATATATTATATATATAAAATATATTTCTCATCACCGTCTTATATAATACTTTATTTTCATCACAAATAAAGTATTATATAAGACGGTGATGAGAAAGTCACGAACAGCTGGAATAAACAAGAGGTAATCTCTATGTTGATGGACTTATTTTGAATCACCTTTTATGAATCCGTTTCTATGTCGCTGTTTCTAAAACAACTGAACTTGTTCTTGTAATTTTGCCTTTTTGTAATAGATACAAAACGATGCCGCTATTGTTTATGAATGTAAGGTCGCATAAAGGCTTTATACTTCACTATATATATTTACTACTGAGAATACCCGTCATATTATCAGATTGTCATAATATCAAGTTTAAAGATCAGGATCTTCAACTTGCGAGAAAAGCACCTCGTTCGCAATAGTCCATTACGTTATTGATTTGCTCACAAGTAACCTGAAATGATGAGATACAAAAATAATACTTTCCTTTTGTCAAAACTCACTTGTTTATAATACATCTTGATCAATGAACAGTTGTTGAGAGCGAAGGTCTTTGGATCCTTGATTCCAAAACTCTGTGTAGTCTTTTGGATATCAGCGCAGATTTTGTCCAGCTGTACTCGTGTCAGAGGTGGTGATGAAGTCTAAAAGGGTAAATTTGTGCAGCAGGGGGAGCGAATGAGATGCAAGAATAACTCTCAGAAATTTTGGTAAATCTTACAGTAGTTTCCGGTGCTGCTTCAGTTTGAGGTGCCACATACGTGGGCTGCTGTACAGACCCCTAAACACTTACTAATTTTATTTATGATTAAGAAAAGTAATCGCTGGTTCAAAGTTGCTATTATATCATTTATGGTGCTTAATCTAGGTTGAAACATTTTAATGCAGTTTACAGTGGAATAGCATATATTAAGCCTACTAAAACTTCTATATCAAGATATTTTTTCTTTTAAAAGTGTTGCTCACTCATGAGTTCAGGACTTTTTAATTCTAATAGTGACTAAGCCACATTTTTTGAACTTGCTATCTCGAATTTCTTTCAAATGGAATGTCTTTGATGCTAACTTACAAGTGCTCCAAATGATGATGGCTGAGATGGATGTGGATACGTCTCTGATGTTTGAGGCGTATTCTACAATTATAATATTCTGTGAACTGGGAAAAATGCTATACTTGAGTCAAAACGGAAATGAACTTCAACTCGGCTGTTGCTCAAAATGGAAAGGAAGCTTCAAAAAAGGTATTTGATGTGCTAGTGCTGAAGTTTTACAGGAGAAATAAGTTTGCAGATAATACTATACAGATAGTATAATACTATACATACTATACAGAGTTTGCAGATAATTCATTTTCTGATGTTGAAACTTTTCTTTCTTTTCATGCCGTTGGCGTCTACTCATATAAAAATATGAAAAGCTGTCTCTCAGTCTCAACCAAAGACTTTCAACTGTACAATGATTACAGAACAAACTTTAGCTGTGACCAACCTCTGCAAAATCTCCGCTCTTTCCAAATTGAAACTTTATTTGACGTCTGGGCATAGGACTTGATGATTCACTCAATGACGACTCCGTTTCGGTGTTTGCTTCGTTGTGCTGCCTGCAAAAAAAATTTGGAACTTGCTCTCCTGGCTTAATCCGAACGAACCTATACCACTCTTTATAATATTGTTCATAGTACGCTTTCAGATACTGCTCTTGATCCTGATAGTTTGGAATCTGTTGAGGATTCGGCAGCTATAAACAATTAATGAATTTAGATTCGATTAGTCACGTTGGAAAGAATCAGAATAAATTGAATTCTGTGCACATGATGGAAATATGCACTACAATCATTAGGTTGTCTAGAAAGTAAAATCCTTTTTCAAGTAGATTGAGCTGTTTTTATTTTCCAAACAGCCTTAGGGTAACATTCGATAGAGCGGTGCAAGCTCAACAAAAAGACCACCAAAGAACCACCCAATTCGTAATCCAGTTGAAATTTGGAGCTAAAAATCAAAATCTTTCAGCTGCCCTAGTAATCAGATCTCCTTTCAGAAAAATCCTACGGATCTCCAACATGTTATCTAGATAGGAGACACATACAATACCACCCGTAATTTGTGAAAAAAAATGGCGGCGGCACTTAACTTACGCGGCGCCGCCGAAGTTAGGTGACTTTTGCCGCGTCGCGCGGCAAAAGTCGGCGGAAAAGCGGCCAAAGTCACCTAACTTTGTCGCGCAACGCCTAACTTTTTATAAAAAAAGACCTTATCTTGATTCAAAATTCATGAATTCTATATATAAGAGTACCATTCAACTCAGCTCGGCGAGGCGCATCTTCCAGTATACGGATGTGCCTAGTTGTGGGATATAAGTTTCTTTCCTGGAATTTTAGTGTAAATGGACCATTCAGTGTGCTTATTCCAGAGGATACGTACACATTCTATTGAGCACAGCAGAAATAGGGCAGGTATAGTTTAAGAGCTCATTCTGCATGGATATATGTGAAACTGGGCAGCTCATTCTGCATGGATATGTGTGAAAGTGGGCTTTTCTCGGCGAAGTATGACGGGTCCCAAAATGCAGGAAGACAAAGGGAAATGGTTGGAAATCGCATGAGAAGCACATATCGCGGAATGCCGCGCGTGCTGTGCAATGTACAATACCACTCACAGAACGGGAATTGCGCGAAATTCCAGAAATTTCGCGATTCCGGATTATCGCAAATTATGCAGCGCCATAACTTCCTTCGGAATTAATATATTCTAAATTCGAAAGCAGCACTGTGTTCATCTCGTGAAGGCGAATCTTTCTACGTACATCATGTCATCTATATCTTGTTTTCAGTTTTCTCAAATTGTTCTGAGGAGGTCCCTTTGCAAGTATGTAACGCAGCGCCTATCCAACTTGAAAGCTTCCAGTAAGCACCATTCGATAGTGCTCTTCTTGTGCATTATAGTGCGCTAGTAAGCTGCCGCAGACTTCTTTTCAAAAGAGAAAAAAGCGTTGGTAAATTCTGGAAAAATCACTCGTTTCCAGATTCTACTTGCCGTAACTTTCTTTGGAGTGGATATTTTCTGAATCCGAAAAATGCATTGTGCTCAGCTCATCAAGGCAAATCTTTCGGTATGCAGAATGTCCTTGATATCTCGATTTCAGTATTCTCAAAACTTTCTGCGGACGTCTCTTCGCAAAGGTGTGAAGCAGCGCGTATTGCCCCCAGTACATTCAGAAAGAAATTTTCAATAGTACTTCTTTTGTAGATTATGGAGCGCTAGAAAGTAGCCGCACACTCCTTTTCAAAGGAGTTAGAAGGGCTGGTGAATTCTGGAAAAATCATGTCCTTCTAAATTTTTCTCAACGTAACTCTAAAATATGAAGCTCTCTTGCTAAGCAGATGTGATTTTCGTAATCAGCAGGTCGGATAACCCTTACAGGCAAGTTTTCCAAGATGTTCGAGTAATTTCATTTTTTCTCGTTTTACGCTCTGAAGCTGCCCGATGGATTTTGGTCAAAATGTTCATGCTCTTAAATTGTAAGGAAACTTCGCTTATAGAGGTTTTCGAACACGCTCTTTACGAAAATCGTGGTCTTTGAGGATTGCAGGGTCTTTTTGGTGAGATACGGTGAGGTGACTGTAACTGCATCACGAAAGTGCGTAAATTGGCCCGCACTTCTCGTGTATCTGTCAGCAACCTTGCCTGCTTGCTTTTCTCAGCCAAAGTTACTAGGAACTGCGCTACCGAATGGTGCATGAATCAGGCTCTAGTCTGTAAAAATCACCGAGTTACGAGCCTATGAAAACACGTTCTCATGAATTTTGCCCAAAATCTAAAGATCGCAAATCTCGTCGAAATTCCACCGTGAGCGCTTGTACAACACGCTGATCAAAATCTTTCGCGTCCTTAATGGATCCTATTGTGTTAGATTTAGTAGTTTGAGTTCTAGCCACTGAAATAGCTCTGATATTCAACTGAGCAGCTGAAGCATATGCAAGTACCATATTCAATACAGTGGGAGTTTTTGGGCGAAGCGAACACAATATCCGCAATGCGAGTGTCATACAAGCGCTCACGGTGGAATTTCGACGAGATTTGCGATCTTTAGATTTTGGGCAAAATTCATGAGAACGTGTTTTCATAGGCTCGTAACTCGGTGATTTTTACAGACTAGAGCCTGATTCATGCACCATTCGGTAGCGCAGTTCCTAGTAACTTTGGCTGAGAAAAGCAAGCAGGCAAGGTTGCTGACAGATACACGAGAAGTGCGGGCCAATTTACGCACTTTCGTGATGCAGTTACAGTCACCTCACCGTATCTCACCAAAAAGACCCTGCAATCCTCAAAGACCACGATTTTCGTAAAGAGCGTGTTCGAAAACCTCTATAAGCGAAGTTTCCTTACAATTTAAGAGCATGAACATTTTGACCAAAATCCATCGGGCAGCTTCAGAGCGTAAAACGAGAAAAAATGAAATTACTCGAACATCTTGGAAAACTTGCCTGTAAGGGTTATCCGACCTGCTGATTACGAAAATCACATCTGCTTAGCAAGAGAGCTTCATATTTTAGAGTTACGTTGAGAAAAATTTAGAAGGACATGATTTTTCCAGAATTCACCAGCCCTTCTAACTCCTTTGAAAAGGAGTGTGCGGCTACTTTCTAGCGCTCCATAATCTACAAAAGAAGTACTATTGAAAATTTCTTTCTGAATGTACTGGGGGCAATACGCGCTGCTTCACACCTTTGCGAAGAGACGTCCGCAGAAAGTTTTGAGAATACTGAAATCGAGATATCAAGGACATTCTGCATACCGAAAGATTTGCCTTGATGAGCTGAGCACAATGCATTTTTCGGATTCAGAAAATATCCACTCCAAAGAAAGTTACGGCAAGTAGAATCTGGAAACGAGTGATTTTTCCAGAATTTACCAACGCTTTTTTCTCTTTTGAAAAGAAGTCTGCGGCAGCTTACTAGCGCACTATAATGCACAAGAAGAGCACTATCGAATGGTGCTTACTGGAAGCTTTCAAGTTGGATAGGCGCTGCGTTACATACTTGCAAAGGGACCTCCTCAGAACAATTTGAGAAAACTGAAAACAAGATATAGATGACATGATGTACGTAGAAAGATTCGCCTTCACGAGATGAACACAGTGCTGCTTTCGAATTTAGAATATATTAATTCCGAAGGAAGTTATGGCGCATAATTTGCGATAATCCGGAATCGCGAAATTTCTGGAATTTCGCGCAATTCCCGTTCTGTGAGTGGTATTGTACATTGCACAGCACGCGCGGCATTCCGCGATATGTGCTTCTCATGCGATTTCCAACCATTTCCCTTTGTCTTCCTGCATTTTGGGACCCGTCATACTTCGCCGAGAAAAGCCCACTTTCACACATATCCATGCAGAATGAGCTGCCCAGTTTCACATATATCCATGCAGAATGAGCTCTTAAACTATACCTGCCCTATTTCTGCTGTGCTCAATAGAATGTGTACGTAGCCTCTGGAATAAGCACACTGAATGGTCCATTTACATTTAAATTCCAGGAAAGAAACTTATATCCCACAACTAGGCACATCCGTATATTGGAAGATGCGCCTCGCCGAGCTGAGTTGAATGGTACTCTTATATATAGAATTCATGAATTTTGAATCAAGATAAGGTCTTTTTTTATAAAAAGTTAGGCGTTGCGCGACAAAGTTAGGTGACTTTGGCCGCTTTTTCCGCCGACTTTTGCCGCGCGACGCGGCAAAAGTCACCTAACTTCGGCGGCGCCGCGTAAGTTAAGTGCCGCCGCCATTTTTTTTTCACAAATTACGGGTGGTATTGTAGGCTTTTCAGCCCATGAAAATTGGAAAAATGAGCTTTTTTGCGGAGTCCACGTCCGCATTCAGTGGAAATTGCGTGTAAGCGGGCCCGGAGCGAGGGAAGCGGGATGCGAAAGACTTCCAGCGTAATTTCACTAACTGCGTGGAAAACTTTGGAAAATCTCATTTTTTGCCATTTTCAAGCTAAAGCTAAAAAGCCAGCTAAAAAGCCCGGATATGGGTTCCTCATAGCGCTTTTTTTCCTGCCTTTAAGAACATAACAACAGAAAATCAGAACTATTTGAACCGTGAAACACGCTCTGCAAATCATATTAAAAATTCTGCAATCAGTTGATAACAGTAGGCGGGGATGTATCACAGTCACTTCCTCGCCTACTAAAATTAGGCTACAGTACAAAGCCAAATTAGAAACTTTGTACTACAGCCATCCAGGGACGAAATTGCTACAGCTCTAACTTAAATTTTGCGAAGCTTTTGTAGACTTTTGTCATCGGCATCCAAGTTTTCAAATTAGAGGAAATAAGTAGCGTCTTTTTTTTTATTTGTTTTTTAGTTTTCTTTCCAAATTCGTACGAAATTGAATGAAGTCTGCATATAACCTACAGTCGGGCTAAGGCTGTTTACTTAACTTTGTGTGTGTCTGCTTGTCTGCCTAGAGCGATTTGTGAGCGAGTTACAACCAAGCATTTCAGCCAACGTTTCGCTTAGCACATGCTGTTAGCATGATTTTTTTGAAAACTTCTCATGAAATGCTTGCTTCAAGCTAGAAATTTTTTCATAAATCTTGACTGTCTCCTTGCCACATGTCAAGATTAAAATTAACACGTTTGAGGCCAGTTTGATGTTTTTCAAAATCATTTCCGGTGAGGTAAGAGAGCTTTTCATATGACTCGAAAGCTGTTTGGGGGATTTTTAAAAGCAGAACTGTTACAAACGTTTAATACATTTTGGTAGCTTTCAGCAATGATTTGATTAAGTCCTGCTCTCCACATTGTTTTCGCCAGGCAAATTTAGCCGGGGAAGAATATGATGGCTTAAAGTACATGACTGCCAATTGTTTCTTCGCTTACACTATAGAACAATAGCCCACTTCTCTGTTTTGGTGAAGCCTGATATGTTTATTAAACACAGAATGTCACTTTTATAACGTTAAAGCTCAATATAAATTTGTATTTTGAAAAGGGGGTTATTTTCGAATGAAAACAAATTGAACTTACATTGATAGGTAGGTTAAAATAAACTGTTGAACATGTGAGTGTTATGGTAATTTTTTTGGTACGTGGCAAGAGGGTGGCTCTTCATCTTGTAAAGATTCCACGAAATTTGGTACAAGAAAAAGAATAATTACCCTTTCTTGAAAGAACGGGTCCGGATACGGAGTGATGCCTCTGAACTTTTGCGAAATTATGAATTTGTTTGGAATGCATATCTTCAAGTTATCAGTTTGGTCAAAAATAACCAAAAAAATCATTTTTTGTGCGACGTTAAAAAAATGTTTGCGTGAATGCCGATTGGGACAGTTTTATCTAATCTTGAATTTCCTAGTGATGTAGCTAACGGTGTTTCACTGCCCTTATGGTGACTACCAAGCCATGATGCATTTGGTAGCAACTTGTATTTATTCTTCGGCACAAAGATTCCCTTCTTTTAGCGATCGTACATAGAAACGCTTTTAAAATGAGTAGTTGTTTATTTATTTACATTTATTCGTAATGGCCAGCACTGCGCGGTGAGTTCAAAAGCAATCATGATGCAAGCACGCACAATGCACATAAATAAACGATGCAATTATCTGTGAAGCAAAGGTGTGCCGCACTGATATAACAGATAGCCCGATCTTATCCATATATGGAACGACCTTCCCTATAAGGCAATTTCAATTATTGTCCGCACAAAAGTTCACAAGATTGCAGTTGACGCATGCGCCCTCACCTTTCACGTTTAGTAAGGCTGAGTTCATACTGACTCATGTACCGGAACTGTTCCCGCACTATGCTGGAACTGTTCCGGAACTGTGCTGCATGCGCTGCAGCCGCCCCGCACGCGTTTTGTACGGCGGGAGTTAAAGAATGACCGCTTTCAACGGGTTTCTTCCAGATTTCTCATTTTGGGATTATTCATTTACCCCCTTTATACTCAGCAAAACTTCGAACGAAGCTGATTTTCATGTGTGAGCGTATGCGACAAAACGTATACTGTTGTGCTCGTACATTTTCTCTTCGCTATACTCAGACCTGTTCCATTTGTTCCAGGAAGCCGCTGCTGTTCCATTTGTTCCAGGAAGCCGTTGTTTCCATAGCCATTCGCCTCGTAGGAAATGCGGGCAACTCTGAGATTGCATAAATTGGGAGTCTTGTATTCTGATGAGCTTCATTTTTGGGCATTCTCTCCCCTTTACTTTTTCCACATCGTTGCTTCTCCGTTCTTTCTTCTAGCCCGCTTCTCCTTGTAATGAGAAAAGCTGTGAACTTGAAGCGGGGTTGAGGATTGGACGCTGTTCTGTTTTATGTATTCAGGAAGATGGGCTCCCGTGCGCTTGTCCATTCTCTCTTCGTGATTTTTGCTCAGGCCTACTTCATGTTTTCTAGAAAGGCGGTACGTAGTCTCGCATCTGTATTTAAAGGGACATAGACAGGGCTCTAGAACACATGAAGTAGGCCTGAGCAAAAATAGCGAAGCGTGAATGGACAAGCGCAAGAACCGACATTTTTCGGATATGCAGAAAGGAAAAACGCCAATCTTCTACCTCCGCTGCAAGTTCGAAGTTCTATAATCAACAAGGGAAGCGGGGGTAGAGAAATAAGGCCAAAATGAGAGGAATTTGGAAGAAAAGCCGTTTAAAAAACGGTCAAAGTTCTCCAGCTCCCGCCGTTTAAAACGCGTGCGGCGGGCGGTTGCAGCGCATGCAGCACAGTTCCGGAGCAGTTCCGGTACATAGGGATCAGTATGAACCCAGCCTAAAAGTACAAATTTGCCGCATCGATCTGTATCGCTGTGCAAACCCCACGTGTACATAGTCGCTGCTGCGTACATAATTGCTACGGAAAAGAGAGCACGTGGTGGGCACAGATGATACTTTCCGCATTTCCATCTCATCGCCAAAGTTGAGCGATCAGGCACAAATTTTGGCGGATTTTGGTGTGAATTGCATGTGTATTAACAAGCCAGAGTTTCCTCAGAGGTGGAGTGTTTCGCTCCAAATTTTCACGAGGCAAGAAAAGGCTATGAGCTCAATACTCGTACCAGGAATGGACTGATTTCTGAATTCTGAAAACAGGTTAGGGGTCAGGCGCAAGGGTACGAAAGCTCAGGCGACCTGACCTTTTAAGGGGTTGCGCCCGACCCCATTAGCTTTATCTCCGAAGGCGCTTTTTCATCAAAGTTTTCCGGAAATCCGCTCATGCATCTGAGGGAGCCTTCATACCATACCGTAGCGGCCGCTAGCAGCCCGTAGCAGCCCGCAACTGCCGCTGCCCCGCTTTTGTTATAGAAACGCAAAAGTATCAGAATCTTACTACTTTGAGTGTCCCTGCCTATGCTTCTCATCTTCTGCGCTTTCTCTTCTGTTGCCGCCAGTGTGTAGTTCGTTTCTCACGTGTTCATTGTTATGTTGCCGCCCATTGCATCCTATCGGTGCCCACATTTCAATTTTGCAATCTGCTTTGTCTAAATCGATTGTGAGCCATTGTCAAACTTAGAAGAACCCACTCCGCGAATCAAATCGGCAAACTCGCGAGATAGTAGAATGCAATTCAGATATGGTAGCCGAGAAGAAGATTGAAGCGATAGCCGAGAAGAAGATTGAAGCAAAAGCATATTCAAAAAGTAAACAAATTGCACACCTGCAGGAACTGGATGCAACCAAAGTCAGAGGAAAACACCCCGGAAAGAAACTTTTGCGAATTAATGGTTCAACAGGATGACATTACGGCGACAAGATAATGATATAGACATAAATATGATGAATGAGATCGAACTATCCACCGGCGGCAACAGAGAGAAAGCGTGGAATATGAAAAGCGTAGGGGCAGGAGCACTCAAAGTGGTAAGATTCCGATGATTTGCGCTTCTACAACTAAGCGCCA